GGGGGGGGGAACAGCAACAAGGTTACAAAAAAACTTCTATTTTATAGTATAAATCAAACCTGGTGGAGAGCATAACAGTGAGTTTTTCCAATCAAATCTGAATTGTTAACAATGGAAACTCACTAATAACAAGACATACGAAGTCGGTTTTTTTTTGTTTGTTTTTTTTTTTTGCACTTCTGTTGCTTTTTTGTGACACATGTAGCCACAGGTTTCGGCCATATTTAAAAAAAGAAAAAATTTGCGGTTGGAAAAAATATACTAATAATAATTACATATGCAGGAATGAGTAGGTTAGCCGTGAGTAGCGAGTTGTAAAATAAGCATTCGTAGCCATAGAGTTACATGTAGTCATGACTTTCTCACAAGCCCACGGCGTTTAAAAAATACTGCGCCAAAGTACTTCGTCAATGACATTCACACATCGAAAAGACGTTACTAAGATATAAAGAGTGTAATGGATAATTATGGAGACTAACTTCTCTAAATCTTACCTTAGCGTCTCCGCTCCTGGCCAATCGAATTCAGAAAAAAAGATCACAATGCCTTCCCATCGCGAAGTGTTTGAGCTTTTTTTATGATTACTACACTCGCCCTGTCCAACACACACGAGGTGAAAAGGCAACGTGGCGGTTTTCTAAAGATTTAAACGGGTGAAGCGCTTCTCAAAACAGCGATAAATGAAGAAATCCAAATGTCAATAGTGTCGACTTGAACTTGGTGCTGAGCGTGGAGACGTAATTAACAGGAAGTCTAAGGCTGTCATGGCCGCCGGTCAGAATTGATTGGTTCATTTTTGACCCAACAAAAACATTACAGGCATATAATGCAAAAATGTTTAATTTGAACCAATAATTTGATTATTTTCATAAGAAATAACCCAGAATATCGACCCAACGCAAACAATCTGAAAAATGAGTCAATGAAATTACCCAACTGCTTTAGAGTGGTCTATATCTATCTATCTATCTATCTATCTATCTATCTATCTATCTATCTATCTATCTATCTATCTATCTATCTATCTATCTAGCTTCTTATCCATCTCCCATCCATCCATTCCTCTAGTTATATGTACACGAAGGTACAGTATGTGAGAGAGTATTATACACAGTGTATAATACTGATACAAATTGTATTTACACATACTTTGTTCTTTTCCACTGTGGTCAATTATTATGTAATATGACAGACTGGCACATAATTCTTGTAATTATTCCAGGAGCACTCTTGAGAGCTTTGCACTTGATGCTGTTTTGTGATGAAATGAAATCGGGCCCAAATGTACTGCCTCCTTAGTCCACACGCACATAGAATGACAAATGAAGTCGAAAACATAACCGTTATGATGCATTCAAGTTTTGCTGTTCTATTATTCATGCTGCTCATTTATGTGCCTTTCCCTTTGGCGTGCTATTTCACTTCCTGTGAGCCTGACGAGAGCGGGAAGGGAGCCCACTAAGTGTATTCCGTTGAATCTAATTCCATTCATTGCACTCTGCCTTCCGTCATCCATGCATTCTTTTGTCCGTCACAGCCATGAACATTAACGTGGGGGTGCGCAGGGCCGCGGCACTGCTCGATCAGTTCTACGAGAAGCGACGACTCCTCATTATCTCCGCACCGACGGCTGCCAATCATAATTATCGCTTCCAGATGACCAATCTGCAGGTGAGTGAGAGAGAGAGAGCGTTGTGAGTACAGTTTGTGTATCTAGCGGCTAACCCATGGGTCAGTACACATCAAAGTGATGACTGACACCCTTTCTAATTAGGCTATTCTAAGAGCCTTGTCACAAGCGACCAAGTCACATTGCCTATAAATGTTTGACCTGTTCAAGACCGATGGCTCATCAGCTGAGATCCCCAGGGTCAACTCCAGGATGACCTGAGCCATAGAAAGATGTCGGTGTGTGGAGAAGACCTTACGGGGTGTGATTGAACTGGACTAAATAAGGCTCAATTGAATGTAAAATATTTTGGCTGGGGGTCTGCAACCCATAAACCCATCTGGTGTCCTCTCTGTGGAGCTGAAGGAGCTGGTTCCACCAGGGTGTACACGTCCTGCTCATACCATGACAACCTGGACCTGGATAACGGGAGGAAAATGGATTTCCAAGTATTGTAGTGGTACACTTGCCTTTCTCTGATGCAAACGCATGGGTTAAGTTCCCACTCCCTGTGATTTCATTGGTGCACAATGGGAAGCAAGCACCCTTTTCTACCTTCGCCCATCTACGAAAATACCAAAAAAAAAAAAAAAAAAAAAAGAACCCTCCAACCATGCATAGTTAGACTTAACTTTGCACGATACTTGCGCTGGGAATGACAAGAGTGCCCATAGAGATGATCAAAACGTATTTTTTGTCGAAAGGACAAAGACTAAAATACGAATACAAACTTTGACTGGATATCTTGTATATTACGTGTCAGACTTTTAAACGTGTATATCTGTGGGCACAACAGCACGCCCAGTGTGGACTGGACCTACGGCACATAACCGTCATTGAGCTGGTCGGGAATTACCCAGCCCAAATCGGCCGCATTCGACACAGGCTCCTCCCCCCCATGCTAGCCTTGCAACTCAGGTATTCACACACACACACACACGCACACACACACACACACACACACACACGCACGCACGCACGCACGCACGCACGCACGCACGCACGCACACACACACACACACACACACACACACACACACACACACACACACACACACACTTTCTTTTTTGTGTGATGTCATCACACATGATGTTACTTACTGTGTCCTCTGCATTACCAAGGTTACTGCTCCAGATCCCACAAAGGTCCTTCCAAATGGTTCTAGTGGACAAGCAGGGCACGGACAAACAACGCTACCCGTTCCCGATTACGGCGGCCGAGCTGTTCACCACCGTTGACACCTTTCCTCTACGCAAGGACGAGATGCTGATGCAGCAGGCAGCCGGACAGACCTGTCAGCCATAATGGCCCATGCTCATGTCCCCCCCCTACCCTGGGACTTGCAGCCATTCTTGATCCAGTGGCTTCCCCCTTGTCACAACACATGCTGTATGATCATGACACACCATCCTCGTGTGTGTGGGTGCATGTGTTTGAAACAACAGTTCTCTGCCATGCCACTCATCTGAAAGGAGATTTTTTTTTTTAAGCCGTTCAAGTCACATGTCACGACAATCATATTGATTCCTGTGTCTTGCCTACTGGTATGTATTTTTTTTAAATAATTATTTTTCAAAACGTATGTAAGTATGTTTAGTACAAAAAAAAAAGTTTTACTGTATCGAGTGGAAAACTATACTATTTATGTCTCACTTCCTGAATAATAATGTATTCTTACACTCTCTGGATTATAATGTGCGTCAGAATGTTGTGTACACTCTCTGGATCAAATACAGTGGAACCTCCAAAGTCCAACTAAAGCTCTGCCAGTATGCGTGGATTATTATTTTTATTAGTACAATTTTTAAAAGAACCACAGACTATTGGGGGGGGGGGGCATATGAACAATAGTGGGTTGGGATAAATACATAAGGTCTGCAGACATTTAAGTGACCAGTGTTTATCACAAGCTCTTTGTGTACTTAAAGGTCACCTGTGAAGTAATTTTAGAATATTCCAAACAAAATATTTTATGTCACAAATAAATTAATTTAAAAAAATGCTTGAGATAAATCATGAAAAATACCTCGAAACGGGTGCTGAAAGCCATGCCATGGCATCATTTTGTGAAGCTATGAGTCATGTTTGAGATGCAAAATTAAATAGCTCACGTGTACCAAACAAGACACTCATTTGATAGAGTTTAAATATGTTGAGAGACCAAAACACTTTTACTTTAGAAATGATAAATATTGATAATATTGAAATTTTCATTCTGTATTGTGTTGTGCTTTTGCTTATTTTCCCCTTGACTCTCTGTCTTTCTGTCTCTTTCTCTCTCGCTATCATCAACAACACATTTTTGAAACTTTTCCCAGAATCCAATGTCAGAACCTCTGGTCTCAGTACACACGCAATCACTTTAAATAGAATGCAGGAAGCCAATGTTAACAAAACTCTATTGAACATATTCCAGGATGTCGCAACAGCGTGACATTAAACCGAGAAGGGAAGTAGCTGGAATGAATGTTTACATGACCATTAACATTTAAACGACATATTTTGATGGATTCTGATTCAGACAACAGGAGAAAGACTTGCCCAAATTGACAACTGAAGAAATGCATGGAAGTGGCCAACCATAATGTATCTCATTGGATAACGACTAATTGTTTACCGTATTGTAGGGAGGGAAACAAATTTCCATTACTTAGAAACGGGGAAAACCATCAATCAATCAAATAAATGGCAACTTTTATTTTTTATCAAACTCCTCTTTCCATACTATGACAAGTACAGTATGTCTAAATAAATAAATAAATAAGCTATGCCTTTTTTAGGCTGGGAATGCGATATTTCATAACATTTCTACTTTGGTTGATGTTTATGTTGTGAAACTAAATAGTTCACACATTTCAAACAAGACACACATTTTGTCATTTAAGTCAGGGGTCCCCAACCTTTTTTGCCCCACGGACCGGTTAAAGTCAGACAATATTTTCAGGGACCGGCATTTAAGGTGTGGCGAATTAATACAACAAAATAATATGGTATGAGCTGCATGAAAACTGTGGTGTTTTCGAAATATAATAATAAACACAAGTAGCGTCTAATCTGGTCGCAAACTCTTATCGCTCTGGTAATGTTTAATGCCTTCAAAATACGATACAACGCAAATTCAAAGTGCATGAAAATGACGACTCACCACAGCCCCGAGCTTGATTTTCTGCAATCAGACAGTCCCATCTCGGGGTAATAGGAGACAATGACACCTCAAGTGTGTGGTTTATGTCCAGTCTACTTCGTAATTTTGTTTTAGTCGCCGTTGCTGCAGAAACTCCCCACTTCACACAGGTAGGATGTCGGAAATAGCAACAGTGCTATTGTGGCGATCTCAGAGTATTCAGCCATAACTTTGATCCAGTTGTTTCGAACGTACTTTTAAGGCCGCTGTCATTTGTGATCTCCAAGCAGCATTTTTACTCATTTTGCGGGCTTTAGTGTTTTGTTTTTAAGCGTCATTGGTCACGTGACCGAGAAGTGTGGCTTGACGTGAGTCAAGCGTGACACAGACGGATGTAAAAGAGAATCCGGTAATTTTTCAAAATAAAACATCTTTCGTGTTCCGAAATAAATAAAACAGAAATAAGGCAAGTTCTTTCTGTGCGGCCCGGTACCAAATGCCCTGCGGACCGGTACCGGTCCGCGGACCGGCGGTTGGGGACCCCTGATTTAAGTGATTTCTATTACAATGAGAAATGGCAATGCCACTTAAGCAGCATTAAAATGGGCAAGATTTCATTTTGTCAAATAACACGCAGGTAACCAAGTTTTTTATTTTCAAAATATTTTTTCCACGAGATGAAATAGTTTGGACACTTTGGAAACATGACATACGAGATAACATGCTATTCATCAAAAATCAGTAGGCGGGTATTGCACAAGCTTGTGATCAAAAATCATGTTGTACATGTATTAGTAGTCGTAATAGTGCAGGAATGCTATACTATGACACAAACATACACTAGCATTCATTATTATCGGAAAATGCTCAAACAGCTTTTATTTGGAGACATGTTTTTGTGAGTTGTGAGCCCCTCCAATGGAAGCGCCACTATCAAAGTCAACCAATGGTGTGTTTATCAGTGCTAAACTTCCTGTTTTTTTTTTGTTCGTATTTCCCTCTACGAGCACGCGGCTAAGGCATCACACTGATACAGTGTTATCTACATTTACATCAAAGCTGGATGTCAAGTACTTACTTACAGTACTTCCTTTTGCCAGATATCTTTTTTCAAAGCAGGCACGGAATGTTGTCAAAGAAATATTTAATCAACGAATTACTAACTACTCAATTTAATGGTCAAGACGAGGCTAAATCATGCTAGCGAGACTGCGCTGCGTAAGCTTGTGTGTAACAGGCACAATGGTGCTTTGAGCTAAATGCTAACATTAGCATGCTAAGATGACGACGACACGTCCACTGATGGTCTAACTTGTCAATAACTTTGGTACCAAACATTTTACAATTGTACCTTGACTTACAAGTCATGAATCTAGCCACTCCCCCCACCCCCCCCCAAAAAAACACCACAATTTTATTGTGGCAAGGGCTAAACAACACAATAAAATAAACAAAAAGAGAATGGAAAGAAATTACTGTAATGTTTTTTTTTTAAATCAACGATAATTACTTAATGTAATTTAGTATTAGGTTGTTGGATGTATGCCTATAAGGGGCGTGGCCTTTAAGTGACAGGAGATGGAGTAGGTTAGTCTACTTGTGAGCATCTGGATGTTAGTTGTTGACTACAGAAGCTCCTCCTGTTCTCATTATGTTTTTGTATAGTTGACTTGTTGTCCCGTTCAATAAACGGGTGAAATAATATCGTTTACTGTGGCTCTCCTTACCACATGGGAGGGCATCACACTTTGTCTTTCACTTCGCTCGAGTGGCGGAGTATCTAAAGCTTGCTTGTACAAAGCAAAAAAAAAAAACATGGACTAAGCGACAGCTTGTAACTAAACTCATAAAATAGGGCACTCTTAAATCAAGGCACAACTGTATTTGCATTAAGCGTTGGTACTTTACTATCGTGTTAAAGAGATTTTGAGAAATGGAAAGCTAGCTTATCAATAGAGAATGCCATTATCTAGCTAAACTGGGAAAATTCACTCCGAAGCTATGATGAAGCAGACACTTTCACTCATTGTACTTGCAAGGATGTGCTTCACAGCAGTTAGCTTGCTCACAAGGGCGGCGCCACCAAATTTATCAGTGCTTTGACTCATGTCTTGTTATTCAGTAAAAAAAAAAAAGTCTCTGATAGCCATAGGTATCTACAAGCTAAAAATGATTTGAATACATTAATCCCATTTGGGTGTGCTTAAAACTAGATAGAATGCTGCATTGTGTTTCCTGTTTGGAAGAGTAAATTGAGACTTTTTTGGCAGGAGTAAAAGGGCAGTGGGGCACATTTGGATCCGAGGGTAAGGCATGGCCGGTTGTTCCATACTGGGGGAGGAAAAGTCAGACTGGAAATAGATGCTCTCCTTTCTTGTCAAGTCTCTGGTGCTTCTTCCCTTGCCATCGCTCCTTCTTTTGACCCATTTCCACCAAGCAGTACAATTAGGAAGGGTATGTCTTTTTGGTGTTTCCACTTTCACAAGTTCTGGGTACCACACTACATAATCCGCAAGGGGAGATCTTGCAACGTACTTGGTTGAACGCACTTTGCGTGTGCCGAAAACATGCACCAACCCCAGCAAGTCTATTTCATCTTTGGGTTGAACTTGGACCACCCTGACTTTAATGCAAATGCTGCTACGACTGGCTGGGAGTCAGCTACTTTCCATCCCACAACGGCGCAAATGCCCCGTTACGCCCACTTCTACCTGTGCAAAGTCTTTGAGAATACCAAAAGAAAGAAAACTCCATCCATCTGCACAGTTGGACTGCACTTTGCGCTGGACTTGTTCTGGGCCTGAAAATAGGGCCTGTCATCTTCAAACAGAGTAGATAATGTCATTGGAAATATATCTCTGAATTCACTCGACAAGGAAATCTTACCAAGCTAAAATTTCCTGATGTATTGGCAGATAATTTTGCTTTGCATTACTTTTTGTTTGTTCTTCTTATTTTTAAGACCAATTTTTTGCAACTTTCTCATCCAATCGGAAGATGCGGTGTCGATGTGAAAAAGGGCACACGGATGCGGCAGTATCCCGCCTTCCGCGGGTTGTGTGTTGCGACATCTCAAGTTTGATTCCGAGACAAAATCGAGTTGTACAACACGGTCCAAATACAAGCCAGATGGGTTTCCAAGCTATGCTGTACTACCTGGTGGAAACATGTCTTATGCTTGTAATCCATTCGGGCTCATACGGTGCACGTGGTGCACTTGCGCATGCTGGACCTCAGCATGAGAGTACACTCCTGGGGGACTTCTGGATTTTCAATCATGCGCTGCCACAGCCGCTGCTCCTCCCCGTATGAGTCCATCCAGTCCACTTGGTTCCCGTAACTTGTGCCTTGAGGGGACAAGTAGCGAAAAATAACCCCCATTATTATTGTGTTACTTACAACACAGCAGGCCATTGATCAAAGGTATGAACTCAGTCAAACTCGAATTAGATTTTTAGGCCTGGATAGAGTATATTTTTTGGAAACGACACAAAAATTCAAGCTGGACGTCTGTTCTGAACAAGAGTCCAGAGTCATGGAATAACGATAAGCCTGGAAGAGTTCCAGTTCCATGTGGATTTAATGAAAATAGTACATAACAAACACATTTTCCACTTTCGTGACACAGTATTTTACTTTTTTTGCTGTTTGATTCAAAATCGAACTGTTCTTCCCAGCCCACAATCAAAAATGGTTCGGTCCTTTCATCTACTTAATTTCTTTACTTTCGTAAGTTTTTTTTTCTCCATTTGAGTCACGATGGAATCTTCCACAATATAAAGTGATGTCCTTTTTCTTGAATGAAAACATCTTACTTCATGTAATTCATGTAATATAATAATTAAAAAAGGACTGCGTCTTATATAGTTGCACGGTTATACTTTGCCTACTCCTGCTTCTGATTGTGCTGGTGTCCGATTGCAGTCTTGCACACACCTGTACCGGCCCCCAGCCTGACTCCGCCCAGGAAGACATTGCTGGCCAGGGCCTCCTTGTCCCACACGGTGAGCTCCAGGCACACATTGTTGAGGTCTCCTGGCTGCAAACCGCAGTAGGTGAAAGTGTGATTCCAATGCGGGTTGACCGTACGACGCTCCACCGCCGTCTTGTGCTTAGTGGACTTCTGGCTGTCCGGGAGCAGGTAACTGCGCACAGTATGATCCAACGCATTGCTTGATTTCGACAACCTTCATTTTATGAAGTGTGATTATGATCTCACCCTTTGACAAAAGGATCAGACGTTCCTCCAGACTTGACAGCGGTTAAATTTTTGGCCCCCTTGACAAGAAGCTCAACCATGCCCCCTTTGGGTGGTGTGAAGGTGCTCTTCTTCTTGCCCTTCAGGAAGCCCTTTTTCACTAAAAGAAGCAGACAGTGTTTTTTTTCTTTTTGTAGAATAACACACAAAACAACACCGTCTTCCATCTATGCGGGGTTGGATACAATAAAACTAGTGTAGAATCCCGTGAATAACATGCACCCAGTGTATAATGTGCCTTGGTACTTAAAAACATTTTTTTTTTCATTTTTTTACAATCCTGCATAGGTACTGATAAACATCGAAGCAATGTGTTTTTTAAGCCCCCTCTATAATATCTGCCCTTGATATGGGACGATTGCTCCCCACCCCCAAAATGAGCATTATTCACTCGATATGCGGTGTTGATTTGACAATATTTTGCACACACCTTCATGCAAATATTCTTCAAAAGTGCCACATTGCATCTCACAAAGCATCTCTTGTGTACAGCCCGATTTCAATTCACACCACACACTTTCACCTGGATTTAGGTCTGGGCTCTGGCTGCGCTCTTCCCCAATTTAAGTCAGTTTACAAGATTCGCCAGCATGTTTATCTTCAAAGACATGCACCCATACAGTGTGGTAGAAAATCTGAGGATTTGTAAAACGATTCAAATGCTGTATCCGCCACGATTTGAGGAAATTTACATTGGACAACCATGAATGCAGCTGAAGTATACATGATACGTTGACATCTTGACGTAATACCAATTTGCCCGGCAGAGTGAATTGAAAGGCAGCATTAAATCAAAACGCACAAACGGTTTCCCTCTTTACATTCTACTCTAATAATGGCATCACCGAATGGAGTGTTCTGATTTAAGAGCGTGGCAACGGAACGAATGAAACTTGTATCCAAAGGGACCGCTGCAGTTGTGAATATACCTTGTACTTGGTCTAGAGGCAGCATGAGGTTCTTCTCTGCAGGAATGTACTTCAAAACCACAGTCAGTTCTCCCTTGTACTGCATGGCGGCGTCTACGCTGCTCTCCAGCTGCAGAAACATATTGAGGTTTTGGCACATTACGAAGGAAGAAGTCTTCAAGAGCGGAGTGGCTACCTTGGGCTGCAGACCGAACCACTCATCAATTTGGGAATCGAACTGCCAGGAGTCAAAAGTCAGCTCTACTTCTCCCAAGAAGCTGTTGTGTCCGAAGCGGTCATGGTGCCACACAGACACTTGCAATGTACGCGTTTCCAGCTGCGAGTGGCTGATCACATACTAGACCAAAGAAGAACCACACACACACACACACACACACACACACACACACACACACACACACACACACACGCACACACGCACACACACACACACACACACACACACACACACACACACACACACACACACATCAGTTGGAGCTGAACCAAAAAGATGTTGATGAAATGCACACACCCTTAGGTTCTCATTAAAAACAGGATTGATGCTGTTGGCCTTGATGCTGGTCTTCCTCTTGCTTTGGCGCGACATGTCCGGCAGCAGGTACGTCTTCACGTAACTGTCAGGAAACACACTTGGTCACTATTTCTTTTTTTTTGTGTGTGTGTATCGAAATATGATTTCATGAAATTGTGACTCTCTAAAATTGAAAGAGTGAAACAGCATAAAATCCCTGCTGTGTTTTATTTTATTAAGGCAATTGGGGTTGCAGCTAAACAAACAAACAAACAAAGCCCCAAAAAATCTCATATATTCATCCATCATTTTGGGGGAAAAAAAAAAAATCAACCATTAAAATCATTACTGCATGGGTTGGAGTGCAGTGAGGCTAATTTCAAACCATGCTACAAGTTTGAAAATGGCAAACTGTCCCTTTAAGACTAAGAAGTTTTGCTTGTGCCTCAGTATTTCCTCATTCATGGCCACACATACTCACACGAACATACTCGAGTGTTGCTGGGTCACGTTGGATGGTTTTCGTGTGTGTGTGTGTGTGAGCGCGTGCGTGCGCGCATCTCACGCGTCAGTGCGTTGCCTCCTCTCGTCCCCTGTGGCCAGGTTGTGGCACTCTTTGACCAGCACGTTGAGAGCGCCCGTCTTGTAGCTGTAGCTGATGTTCAACAGGATCTCGCCACTGACTCGGGCGTTGCCATAGTCACCCGTCTCGCTGTACATGCTCATCATACTGCTGATGCTACTCTGGTGGGCGCAGACATGAGAGGCACAGGTCCATGATGGCCCAAGGGGATGACGACAAAGCAGAAGGAGCGGAGGTGAAGTGAGGTGAATTGGTTGAAATAAAAGTTTGTCGGGAGGACATCCATTTCCCAAACTTTATAATAACTTCTTTTTAACCCTTTTATATTGTTTTCCCAGTTTACATTTGACGGCAAAGAATAGAGTACAATTTTATTCCTCTAGCACAGGGATGGGCAATTGACAACCCACACTCTGAGTGGCGCCTCGATTAATTTCCCTTCTCAAAAAATGAGGGGGGGTGGGGGGGGGTGCAACTGCATAGTTTGAAATTATAATCTCACCATTCACTACTAGATGGCTGACATTGCTGGTAAGGAAGTGTCCCATGCACCGCCCCCCCACCCCCGACCCATCAGAAGCGCTGATTAAATATCCGTTAGCTCGTCCATGCCATTTCCCAGTTTGTGTTAGCATTCGGAACTGGGAGATGTTAAAGCAAAGTTATGTGGTTGTTTTGAATACATATCTAACTCTTTGTTTCATGCTCAGTTCGACAGAATGGCAATCAAACTACACTGCCAACATTTTGCCCACAAGTCAAAGCAAAAAGACGACTGGAGGACAGCTCGTATCTCAAGGCGCCAATGTATTTTCAAAAATCCCTAACTTAACTTCCCACTGGGAATTTACGAGAAACCTCCTGGAATTGTCCTCTATGAACTACATCAATATGAAACATGACCACTTGACTGTATATTTGCTTCACATTGCACTTTGGATTAGAAAAAGTGGAGCGGGAGTCTTACTGTCTCAGCGTCTGAGTCGGGGACATTGAGGAAGGCCCACCTCCTCTCTGAGGCAGGAGTGGAAGACTAGCGGAGGGTTAAGAAGAGGAAAAAAAAGAGAGAGAGAGAGAGAGAGAGAGAGAGAGAGAGAGAGCAGTACATCCAAGAACAACATCACACTGGTTACCATGGCAATTATCAGAGCCAAGATACAGAGATTACGGCTCATCCGGAATTGGCCGTGATATCAGCACGAGCGCACATAATCAAATTGAAGGCCCCTTCCTCCATTGTATTCACTCAGCTTGGCCCATCATATTACATTACATCCATATATTCATACTGCGACTGTAAATTCTTTTGAATAGCCTTTCTATTACTTGTAAAGATTTTTTTTTAAAGTGCTAACATCACACTAGGCTTGAGTCACAATAGCCTTACATCAGTGCTAATGCCAATAACCTGTTCCTCACAATCTCAACGTGCGCTATATGAATGTGAGAACACTAAAATTCCGTCAGTATTGGAGCCAAAATGTTTTTATATATTTTTTTGGGCATCACTAATACAGTACAATACTTGTTCAATTCCAAACCTGATGATAATATTTACTTATTCACATTTTAATCACAAGTGAAAACATTTGTTATTCAACTAAAACAAACAGGTGGGAGACCGTTTGAAAGCGAGTGATGTCACTTGGCTATATAAATATACAAATATCGAATTAAGATTTAATTTCATTAAAAAGGTGACTTAGGAAGCGATATTTTTTAACACGAGTTTCTCTAGTTAAATTCCCTTCCTGAGGAAAAAAAAAATCTCACAATTCACTCACTTTTTTTTTCCTCGTGAGGCTGCGACTTTTTCTTGAACTACCTTTTCCTTGCAATTTTTTTTGGAGACTATTTTTTTCCTGGAAAAAAATATGACTTTTTCTTCATGAAACCCAACTTTATTTTTAACGCTTCATTCTTGTAACGTTGTCATTTTAATCACAATTTTAAGACTGGGACTGGTTGAAATGATTCAACTTTTATCTCATAAGACAATGACTGTATTCTTGCAGCAATATGACTTTACGAACGTTCTGAACATTATCAGAAAGCTGTATTTTATGGTGGTCATGATGGAAGTGCTGCGAGAGCTTCGTGTTATTCTGAAGCAGTACTTGGGGTAAAAAGTTTTGAGAACCACTTCTCTAGCTCAAGCAGCGCCGGACTAGATTGCGTGTCCCTTACACTCAGACATCGTTTTTTTTTTTTTCCTGTCTGATATTGTAACTTGACAACATTTCAACTTAATTTGCCTCCGGTACTGTTTGTCTACTTCATAGCAGATCCTGTGTGTTCATTGTGTGTATTACGATACACCACATCCTCCACCCACGCCCTCAATCAATGTACTGCACGGTGGATATAATTCTCAGGCACGCCACAATCAATGTTATGATATCATAAAACAAAACTGTTGAGTTCGGCGCCCTGTGTGTGCAGCGGCAGGATAGTGTTTGCGATGCCTTCAAGCTCCCTGCCTATTTACACGGCCAAGACACACAGCAGGTGTTGAGCGTGTTTGCACTGCACCACAAGGTTGCGTATATTCACGCTTCCCCCCGCCATGTGCACTTAGTAGCGGTTCAAAAGAGGTCGCGTCGTTACCGTGGACACGGCGTTGCTGAGGTGGCGTCCCGCCGTCTGACTGTGGGCCGACATCAGGGCGTCGATGTCTTCCTCGCCGTCCTGGTCGGAGAACTCCTGTGGACCATCACGTTGAAAGTGAGGGCAGGTGGAGGTGGGGCCCTCCTAACGTGATTGGTCACTGCGGTGCCGTGTGTACGTGTGCGCACGCATACAGCCAGATTCCAAAAACTCAATGAGACGAGTCAGAACACTGTGTGATCATTTTTTGTTCTTACTACTGTAAGCCGCTGAGAGCCAAAGTGTGTCTAAGCCTTAAACTATCGGCCAAACACGCTCCGCTTACCTTCAAAACAAAACAAATGAAAGCAAAATCCTCATTTGTCATCAATGAACCACATTTGGTCACGTCATTTGAAAAATCATTCAAAAAAATATCAATTAAAAAAAATCAATAAGTAGGTTTGAAAACAAAATAAATAACATTTCCAAAATCTTAGCTGAGTTGAACACTCTAAACTGTTAATGTTTGCTTTGAAACAGGGTGAAACTGCATTGAGCTGTTATGCTGCACATAAATGGAAAAACATGGCCACAAAAATCAAGTCAGCCATGAGTATACACACAACGCAAATTTATTTTTGGATTAATTTGGGATGTAAATGTTGGATGTAGAAAGGCCAAAAAAAGGTCAAAAAGTCTGGACTGCAGCATGACACACATGCTACTGTTCCATGAGTTAGGGCTACTTACCGTCTCATTGAGACCTGGCACAGAGCGGCTTCTGAGGCTGAAGGTGTCGTCACTGAGTTCTGATCCTGCAGCCGATAGGTCCATCTCAGAGCGACTGTGATCTGATTGACAAGAGAGGAATAGAGTACAGTCAAACCTCGGTTTTTGAACGTCTCGGTTCTCGACCAAATCGGTTTTCGACCAAAAATTTCGAGTTTTTTATGCCTCGGATGACGAAAAAAATTTCGGTTCTCGAACAAACTGAGCGCACTTGAATGCACCACTTGACTCCTCTTGCCTTCCTTACACGAGGAAATGACGCTTCCTCGGGTAGACGAGGAAGTGACGCTTCCTCGTGTCGCTTTCCATTGTGAGCAGACGTGTTCAATAAACATTTTTTTTTTTTTTTTTTTACAGAGCGTGGTTTCGGTTTTCGAACAATTTCGGTTTTCGAACAGCCTTCTGGAACGGATTATGGACGAAAACCGAGGTTTGACTGTAATGGCCTTCGTGATAAATACTGAAATCAAATAATCCCAAAATATCCATGTCCACATTTACAACATGAGATTAGGCAGAATGAGCTGCAAAAGTGTATATGGCAATTGTACATGATTAACAAATAACCTGTATGCGGATGTGAATGCCAAACTCTAAATAATGCAGAGGTGCCTTATACAGAAGTGAATGGGAACAGCAGCAAAAAATAATTGGCGGCATTCTAAAAAAAAACAAACAAATACAAATCAACAAGACACATGTAAATGCACAAATAGCCAAAACTATTACAACACACCTCTTCAATTAATTTATCACTAAATCAGTGGTTGACCTAAACCCCGTTGTCTGTGATTCCTCATTGTAACATCGTATTTTGGACAATTTTATGCTTTCAACTTGATGCTAAGGCCCTTCTTCTGTTCTAGGGTCCAGAATGGCATGACTCCTTGACGTGATGGGTCCTTCATTTGGTTAGTGGGCCCTAAGTAGAAAATTACCACCAATATCATGGCACAATTGTCGATCGTTGATTACGTTCCAATGCCACGCACGTCATAATGAAACATTCGGAATCAATATCTATCTACTAACATGATAAAAACATTTTTAAAATTCATAATGTCAAGCAGAGATGCTGATCATTAAACGTATGAATGGTTGCAGATGGCTACAGACGTGTTTTACTTTTTGAACTTGGCTTGAATAAATTTTGCTCTGACCAACCAATAGAAGGACAGATAATTGCTGATGTCATTGAAATCTGGAAATTTGATTGATTAAAGAAAGAGTCCACGGATGTTGTAATTAATTCAAGCCATGTTGTTCAGCAAGACTGATTCAGAACGCCCTGGGCAGATTAGTTTGACATAACAGCACATAGAAGCTGAAATCTGATTGGACAAAGAAGAAAGCCAAGAGAAACAAACACTAACCTGAGGAAAAAAAACGGTTGGGAATAAATTCATAAAGTTTAATGGCTCAATTATTAGAAGCTTGGTTCTTAATGTCAGTTATAAATCAGTGATTCTGGTCATGTTTAGTCCAGCAGAAAGTGCCTCTCTTCCCCTTACAGATTACCACTGCTTGAATGACTTCGGCATGGAAGGAAGAAAACATTTAGCATGAACTAAAACAGTGTTGTCTGGGTAGGTTGTCTGCATCCATATTTGACCACGATGTGACGTCAGTACGCGTTTGAGACATTCTGGCAAGATGCTCTACGCTAGGTGCTTGAGCAGAATTGGTGCGCTATAAATATAATTGGTGATATAGACCGATGTGCCCCTTTACAGTCTCTTTTATAGGCAGCTGGAGTTACTAAGGAACCGCGCACACTTCATCGCAGCAGCTGTTAAAGGCTTCCAAGTGTCTGTTTAACAACGTGTTTATTTACTAGAGCCATCTGTAATATAAAACTTGGATGGGATCTCATTAAAATAAGTCAACAGTACCAACCCGATGACACGGAAGCCTGGGACACGGAAATAGTCGGAGCGCCGTAGCCTCCCCCATCATTTCCTGTCGCTTTCTTCTCAGGCACGCTGCCGCTGGAGTGGAAGCTGGAAACACTTTCTGCTCCGTCCGGCTACGTGCAAACAATGTACAATTTAAAATAAATGAACGAGGATAGTGCGTGAGTGCGTGTGCTGCGTGCTGCGTTGGCTAACCCTGACCCTCCGGTTGCTGCTGGCAGTGGAGTATCTGTCGGGAGTTTTAGATCGTCGATTGTTGAGCACTGTCGGCTTCCCGGAGAAGTCGCTGACAAGAGCACAGAGGAAGGAGAAAATTGCCACTTTTATTGTCAAACCTTCATGGGTAGGAACAATAGGACAGTAAAAACCACATATTTGCGCTTTGGGATCCGCAAAGGTGACGTTGACTTCATTTTCAACAGACACCTGTTTGATGGATAACTTGGAGCGGAGCAAACGCTTCGCACGCTCTGAGCGTCTCCATCTGAAGCCGATTTGAGGCCACCGATGCCGTTCTCCGACCTCAAGGTCCTGCCGTTCACTTTATCCATTTTCATCCTCCTGTCATAAAGACACAAACACATCCATAACGAATGTAGATTTGTGTTTGCAGGAAGCTCAGACAATACTGAGCATTACTATCCCATTTTGATCAGCTAGTCAGTTAGGCAGGAAGTCAATTTAGTCGGCAGTTTGTTTGGCTCAGTCATTGAGTCAGTCAGAAAGTTAGCTACTCAGTTGGTCAATCAGTCAGTCACTTAGCTAGCCAGTTGGTTGGTTCCAATTGGTCAACTAGAGAAGTAAATTACCGTATTTTCCGCACTAAAAGGCGCACCTAAAAGCCTTCCATTTTCTTAAAAGCTCACAGCCCGCCTTAAAATCCGATGCGCCTTGTGTAAGGTCATTACGGTAATATGTCGACCCCTAAATGGCTCCTTGCTAGAGACATGCGCACAACGCAGAGTTCAAACTTAAGGCGATCGGTTTCGCAGTTGAACACGGAAATAGAGCAGCGGCAAGAGAGTTCAACGTTAATGAGTCAATGTTATAACTTGCTGTTGGTTAAGTAAACTGTGTCGCTGCTTTATTAAATATGTTTTACTGACATCTGATCGTAGCTATATAAATCACGGTGTAGTGTAGCGTTCTGTTGGCATTTCCTTGAGCGTAGCCCCATCTAGTGGATGCACTGTAGATTGCATCTTATAATACGGTTGGTCCAATATGTGAAAAAAAAGACAAAATAGGTCATTCATTGAAGGTGCGCCTCATATTCCAGTGCGCCTTATAGTGTAGAAAATACGGTAGTTAGTGAGTCAAACAGTCATTTGTCAGTCAGTCAGTTAGGTGGTAAGTCTTCTAAGGCCGTTGGCAAAGTTTTTGCTAATATATCTCCCAAGATGGTTCAGACGTTTGTGAACATTGTCTTTACCGTACAGTATTTCCTGTATTAGCACTTCTTACAAAAAAATCTTTTCAGTCTTACCCTTTCTTTCTCAGTCCATCAACAAGATGTTTGGAACTCCTGCTGGATTTTGGCGTATCGCCCCTCGCCCCCTCAGGACGGAGTGTTGAGTACTCCGGGGACTTTTTATCCTCTGTGACTTGGGATAATAGACATGAGGGATGGACACGGTGTCTCATCTGCAAAGCGACACACCGATGAGCTGCAAATATCAACGAATATAATCAATAGTCAAGCATAGATGACGTCACGCGAGGCAACACCATCCTGTACACCTCAAAAAAAACTCAGTTTTTCATTTTTATTGGGTTGTCTTTGTGTTTACGTTTCTACTGTGGTTAACTTATTTTAACTTCGAATCATTTTTCATCTCAGCGACACAATAAATAATAGCACTCGCCTTGGTCATGTGTTATGATTTCGGAACATGAAAGCCAACAAGCTACCAAAAATGAGTCAAAAAAAAAACATACAACCATGTTGGGTGAGCTTATTCAGACACACAGTAACCTAGCGGACACTTACGAGATCTTAGCACACACGTTACACCTCCACTGACGCCGCTTTGGAGCGGAGACGCGGCACTCGCTGCACACACGCAGCTGGCACTCGTCACATAGCTCGCCGCGGTCGAAGATTAGGCCCAGCGTCTTGATGCAGCGGGCGCACTGGCGCTCAGCCGACTCCCGCGGTGGCCGGGAGCCTTTGCGTTTGATCTCCAGCAGCTCATTTTTCAACTTCCTGTTGGGGAAAACGCACCGATATGAGAGCTTGAAGAAAAAAATAAATGAAGCCTATGAGCCAACATTCTCTCATTCATGCTGACATCACCTTATAGTGATTCATGTGTTGTCTATTTCAACTTAAAGTTTGATGAACCTTTGGCAAGGCCCTTGGCATTTTCTAGCACTGAAAACCTCCAATCAGAAGTCGGGATTGCTGGAACTTTAACACCGCCAATGTAAAGCTCTATTTCAGTCGTGCCAAACTGTTACCTCAAATTACAGTCAATTTGAATTTTGGGTACTTGGAGTGTCTTGAGCTAAACTTTTCCCGTCAGATATGATGATGAGAATCAGCACCCCCAAATCTGAGGACATGTTCCTCAGTCGGAAAAAAAAATGGAGTGCTCCCTGGTGGTCAGGATTGAGATCCTGTTCCAAGTGAAAGAGTTCAGGTATCTTGGGGTGTGACTGAGTCATTCAAAGGGGGCTCAGAGTAGAGCTGCTGTTCTTCTGCATTAAGAGGCGCTAGATGAGAAGGCTTGGGTATGCGGTTAGGATGTCTCCTGGACACCTCCCAAGTGAGGTGTTCCAGCCAGGACACGCTGAAGAGACTATGGGCTCTATTTTCGTGTTCGCATAGGAGGAGATTTTTCGTAGACATGCGCATGCTGGTTTATTTAATAAAAGGCAATTTGCGCCGTTGTGGGCGTGAACTCGGCCGACTCCAATCACCGCCAATCAAAGGTAAACTCTCCTGAAAATTCTGTACATTAGAAATGTTTGTCTGTTACCTGCCGATCAGATGTGAGAAGCACCACAGAGGTTCTGGGTTCTAGGACCTATCAGAAGTTCTCGACCTCTGGCAGGGTCTTGAACCCACAACAAAATTTAGACACTGGATTTTTAGGAACTTTTCGTTCTTGCTAATTTGTAACATATAGTATATTCATACCTGACCACAATCGTTTTATATGAAGGGACTAAAAAAAAATACAATATTGCACAATAAATTTGATTAATGTATGAAAGTCAAGAAATTATTTACACTCCATTTTCTACATGAGCATAATCATTTGCAGAATTCTCACCAATCCCTGCTGCCACAATGACAAATTCATCCTGTGAGCCAGATAAACCCTCTACTGGTTTTGGCCCACGGGCCGTATGTTTGACACCCTCGCATTCACTGGTTTAGTTTCATAAGAGCTTGAAGCCCATGAAGAGACATTCTCACCGTATCCTCTTCTCCTCTCGCTTCCTCAGCTTCTCGTCCTTCTGCAGCACTTTCAGGATGCTATCTCGCTCGTGCTCCAGCAGAAAGGAGAGGTTCAGGTCATCGGCCACATCCATCACTGCCTCGACTCTAGATGCAGCCGGTGGAATCAGCCGAGCGGCGACGCCGCATGCAGTGAGCTGCCGACTTCTACTCCGCCACACGACTTTGTTTCCATCATTGGCATCGTCATTGGTGAAGCTTCACATCGTCGTCCGAACTTCTGGAGATGAAATGGCCCACACCCATCCCGCCCTCGCCTCTAGATGCAGCCGGTGGAATCAGCCGAGCGGCGACGCCGCATGCAGTGAGCTGCCGACTTCTACTCCGCCACACGACTTTGTTTCCATCATTGGCATCGTTATCGTAGGGGTTGGGAACCCGTAGCCCTTGAGCCAAACAGCATTTGAACCTCAACACTATACAGACAAACGTATTGGGACCATGGTAGAAATAAAATATGGTATCTCAGAGAACATCACACAAACGTACTTGCGGATGTTGACTTGATTGCGAACAGCTTTGCTATTACATGAGAACACTTTCTTTTCATTCCCTCCAATCCTTTCCATCCTGCGTGGTTTCCTCCTCTTTCAGCGACATCCTCTTCCGTGCGCTCGTCCCGTCCCTTTCACGCCAATTAGAGAAGCCGCGCAGCTTCATTACGGAACGATTGGGCTGCTGCTTCCTGAGCTAAGCTGCAGCTGCACTCTAATCAATTGAGCAGATTTTCTTTCACCTTTAAGTCGCCACGGTGGGAATTTTGATTCTCTTCTTGTGTGTCTCCAGCAGGTGGCAGAGGAAGGCTTTCCTGCCAGCGTGCACACCTGCTGCCACATATTTAAGGATTGAAAGGCTGCCTAGTCACTGTCGGATTATTGACCTTGTTAGCTGCTTATGCGCAAGTGTTGTTTTCTCGATCTCATCGTCGTCGTTGTTGCTCTCTAGTTCCCCATTTGTTGACGTTATTGATTTCATTTTTGTCTTTGATCTTGCTCTTATTTTGTTTCGTGTAATTGTTTTGGCATTGTTTTTCCTGGCTCCTAGTGACCAGCAATTTCTGTTTGTAACTTTGTCGTTATGCTTTTCTGTTCATACATATTTTTGTTTTCGCATTTTGTCTGAGTCTGCGTTTTTTCGGATCCAAAAAACGTGAAGAAATGGACTCATTCCAAGTCGGAAATAATGAATCTTTCTTTGGACTTTTGACCCGTTTATGGCACTCACATGCAAAATTTTAGCCCCAGAAAATTCTTGCATTTATTGTTTACTGGAATCATTTATGAAAATGATTACCGGGAATGTTTTGAAAGTACTACCCCCGAAATGACCAAAATTTGAAGTACTTCTGATCAAGGCCCAAACACACAGTGGTCCTCGAAAAGTGCCGAGTTCTGAAGTAAAATCTCACAGTTTAGTGTGTGTGTGTGTGTGTGTGTGTGTGTGTGTGTGTGTGTGTGTGTGTGTGTGTGTGTGTGTGTGTCACAGAAGGTGTCATGTCGCGTGTGCTCTCCCTGAGTACACACACCCAACGTATTCCGATTGGCTCTGCTCTTGAGCAAACAGGAGATGACAGAAATGTTTGGCTTTTCAGCCCCAATGAATGCGCCGGCGAGCCGCACAATAAAAACGTTGCTCAGAGGAATGCGTGACTCACCCCATTTTTTTTTTCTCTTTCTCACTGCCTATGAGTCCTTTGTCACCGACTTGAAGCCTTTGCGGGGGCACATGCGCGAGACCCCTTGGAAGTTGTAAGATTAGCCATGTTGACATGCAAACGGCAGAGGTGTCCGCCTTGCCGTTGGCAGGCAAGCGGAGGGCACGATGATGAAGACCGTACGCGTGAGAAATAATACATGTTGCGCTTCATCGCACAGATGGCAGAGAGGAATGTCATTCGAAGGGCAACGATTGATAAACAACTAATCGATGATCACATTTGTCAAGATTCTCAAGAAAGACATTTGTTGATTTTGATTCATCCACTCATCAACAAAATAAGTGACAGATTACTCGATTTCTAAAATAATCGCCAGTTGCAGCCCTAAAGGTAATCGGTGACGATCTATAGTTTTAAAATTTATGTATGCACAGTATGTATGGACTACGCTTCCCCCTGGTCGCCTGTGTGCGAACATCGGAAGGAGCAGCACAATGCCGAGTGAATGAAAGCAGAAAAATGTTTAATTATTCACATTGTATTTAATGATCCTATTACTGTGTTTCTAGCAAGGGCAATAGTGTAGAGTGCTGTATTTTCTTGTTAAAAAAGATGTCCAAAAACTTTTTGGGGTGGTTTTGCGGGCATTGGGTTAGATTAAAATCAATGGGGGAAATTCATTTGAGAAGGATTAGACGTGGAACGAATTGAACAGTGGAGTGACGATGACATCTGACTGCGTCAATCAAACGTAAATGTTGCTATCTTTGTAAAAGTCAGATTTGTTTTGTTTTTTTCCACACAGTGATCTCATTTGATTGACGCTTTTTCAGTGTTAATAAGGTGTGATTGCCATGAGAGATTACACATCGCACTTATTGCAGCTGTCGTGTGGTAATTGACACCCCTCTGACGCAAATGACTTCCTCCTGAATAATTCACGCAGGAATTGGTGACCAATAACCAGCAGGTCATCAGTCAGCGACCCAAACACATCGTACACACATACTGTATATACACACCCAGGGGAGACGAAGTGTTGAAAACATTAAAAATGCATCAACATGAGGTCAATAATGCCCCGTTTCTAAGCTGCTTCTCGGGGCCCACCCGGCTAAATCAATTCTCCACGACGCCCGGCAGCCGTGTTGTGTTTCCAGGAACACGCTGCATGGGACCTGCGGGCGAATGCTGAAGACGAACATTATACTGTAAATACCTGGAAATTTGCAGAGCTGCCAGAAGTAATCAATGTCCTGACTTCAACAGTAAAAAAAAACATTTTACAGTCATTTACTGTGTAACGTTAAAAAAAAATAATAATAAAAAAAAATAAAAAATGAGGAATGTTTCGACCAAACACAAAGCTCTGTAATTAGCAGCAAGGTTTGATGAAATACTTGAAACTTTGACTTGGGGGGTCGGGGGGATTTTTTTTTTTACCGCTTATGTATAAGGTGGCACAGTGATCGACTGGTTAACACATCCGCCTCACAGTGCAGAGGTGCAGGGTTCGATTCTGGCTCCTGTGTGGAGTTTGCATGTTCTCCCCGTGCCTGTGTGGGTTTTCTCTGGGTATTCTGGTTTCTTCCCATATTCCAAAAACATGCATGGCAGTCTTAATGGAACACTAAATTGTCCCAAGGTGTGATTGTGAGCGTGAATGGTTGTTACCCGGAGAAAATCCACGCAGGCCCGGGGAGAAAAAGGAAACTCCACAGAGGAATCCAACCCCACACCTCTGCACTGTGAGGCGGACGTGCTAAGCAGTCGACCACCACGTCACCCGCAAGTCAGCATGTTAGGCAAAAATATTGCTTCTGCACCATCTTGTGCCATCATGGTGGCAAGGAACTACGGTGAAGTGAGTTGAGGAGCTTCATTTTGACAAAGCTAGTGCCTTCCGTTGCTGAGGAACTACACTGGGGTGAGTAGAGGAGTGAGTCATTCAGACAAAAGTAGTGCTTTCCTATCACCTTGTGGTATAGGCAATTAAATATCTCCACCCCGATAACCTTGTTTTCAACGAAACAAGGCCAGATTTCACATTGAAAAAACTGAGATGAAGTCATCATTACTCCAGCACGCTGTGTACTTTTTCTGCCATCTCTGTTTTCTCTACTTCGATAAGTCACACTTTGAAATTCAATTAGCTTAATTCAGGTTACTTTGGTGTACTTGTGCTTTTAAAAAAAAGTGACATCGCCAGTGCCACTCGCTGAAATGCGTATTCCACCCTTTTCTGTGATTTTTCTGAACAAGCATTTGTCTTCTTTTTTTTTTTTTTTTTTTTTTTTCAAACCCCAAGGACTAAAGTTTTGTTTTCGTGGTTGTTGCTGTGTCAACACGTCTTCAATTTCAGCGCCCTCACGTCAACGTGCTTGAACCTCGTCCCCTTAATGGCTTGTTTGTGTCCTTTTGACCACTAATTAAAAGCAAAGAGAGGGTGGCGTTGGCTCAGGAAATGAGTGCCACTCCTCCCAAAATGAGCTGCAGAAGGAGAGGCGGGTGCCACAGGAAGGAAAATAGATGATTGGTTTAGTGAGCTGTGTTGATGTGATCAACATAAGGAGGGTGGGGGGTGGGGGGGGGGTCGAAATAAGGGGCGGACAAGGATGCTCCACAATGACTTGGAAACATGAGTCAGTGCTGTGACCTTGGAAAGGATTTCAGTCACAAAAGCAGTCGAATGCCTTCATTTCAAAATAACACCTTCAAACATTTTAATATAATGAATAGTCACTCTGTCGGGACTTCGCAACAGAAATCACAACAATTAATATACTCTGGTTAATGACATGCATCTCTCACAATCGAAGTTGCTGCTTGCGGACCACTAGAGGAGCCTTTTTGCTTCCAGTGTGCATGTTTGGGGAGCGTAAACGCATCATGGCTCATGTGGTACTTGTGGGCTTGTCTCTACGACCTCAAAGAACAAACGAGATGAAGATAATGACCCTAATAATCATTACAGTCATGGGGAGAGGGAGGGAAAAGTGTGAGCAATCTGTCCGGTTCACTGCTTCCAGATGTGATAACTGGAATAAATTGCAGCTTTTAAAAGTGTCATACTGCATATTGATTGGTCATCAATTATCAATGATGCGCAAGTGATAACATGGAAATGGTGGTGCCTTGAGTTTCTCTCACTCATGTAGAAAAACTGCCAGGATGATGCTGTGAGGTTGTACCTCATTGTGAACTACAGCTACAATAACAAACAAATTGTTAGATGAATGCTTCACCGACGGTGTCAATCAAAAGTGGGCATTATTATTTCGGAAAAGGGACAAAAGTGTATAGTTGTACCTAATGTAGTGGCTGTGCATGTGTTGTGCAGAAAAGAATGGTGGGACAAAAAAGCTGAACAATTTAAAAGCTTTCGAGTCCGTTTCCCAGTTAGCATTCGTAATGGGA